TCCCAGTAGGGATTTAAGCAGTGATTAAATGAAGCATGAGTTATGAGTTTTTGCAAGAAGTACTGGACTGGAATGCAGCATGAAAAATAATCAATTATCATGCCCAGGTCAGTATGCCTATTTGAAACTTGTCACTTGAAGGTCGATATCAGTGATATTATCCTGATATATGGAATCCGCAATGAAACAGATCGTCATCTATGCATGTGTGACCTTCGGAATGTGTCTGTTGGTATTGAGTACGTTGGTATGGAGTACAGAATAGAGAGTGGGAGAGCAAACTCATAAAACACATATAAGGCACCTGGAGGCAGAAATCCAATTAATGTTACAATTTATTCAATAATATTTATCTTCATATTTATCGCTAATCAATGAACTGTTTTGTAATAGTGTAGGGAAGCACATGGATCCCAACAGGTGACAGTGGTTGATAGGCCTAGGCCTCATCAACTACATATAGCCTAAAATAAATGGAGTGGCATTTAAAAAAGCAACCTCTTCATTTTAGAACTTTCGGTGGCAAAATATAAAAAACAGAAGGTGCATATATTATTATGCAAGTCAATCGTGTCGTCATGACTGCAGACTGCAACTTCCTGTGATACATGTAATTGCTTATTCCCCACAGTTCAATATTTTTTCACATAGTGCATGCTTGGTTTGATTATTTTTAGGTTCGTTTGCAAAAAAAAAAAAACAGTACCTCATTATTTTATCACCGCAAAAATTGCTAGGCTAGTGTTTTTATGCCTAGCACTTTGACGTGTGCCTGTGGAAAGAAAAGAAAGACACTTGCCCGATCGTTGTTTGTTGACAAGTGGTAATTGAAAAATTAGTTTTGTAAAACAAGGTTGATTAGAACATGAAGAAACTTTTCAAATTCGATGTTGAGTATGCTGGTTGATTTTCTGGATCATTTTACCATTATTAATGTCAAACAGGTACACAGCCACTATCACTATAAAGCCAATATTTAGTAGAATCTGCTACATAAACAACACTTGATGTCTCATTTACATGTATCCCACTTGGACACTTCAATATTCCTTGATCAATTCATTTGATCACCTCACCATTCATATTGCATACTGTGATGCTTTTGTTGAATTTTGCTTTCTTGTGTCGTGAAATATTCTCCATTGTCATTTTCTTTAACTTGTGTGATGTTGATTTCTCCTGTAGGCAATATCCATTTTGCCATTAGTTGATTTGCATGTATATCACATTCACCAGTTTTGATTACTTTGGCAACAATTGTCTCACCTCGTCTTGCAGGTTTCTTTCCCTTTAATTCTAGAAAATTTGCTGTCACTTGTTTTCGTACATTTCCAGTGTTTTTTTTTATCTGTTTTTCATTTTCATAATCACTTTAATCACTAGCATTCTGTAAATTATATAAATACATTTTATGACCTATTAAAGAATGGTGTTCATGCTGGCACTAGGGGGCTGTCGGCAATGGCAAGGAGCTTAAGTCCCTCACAGGCTACGAATTGTCAGCAGTGGCAGATTTGTGGGGGGGGGGGGGGGGGAAGGGAAGAGGCCGGTCCTACTTTTGGAAAGAAAAATAAAAAGAAACATCATAATTTATGAGTATTACATTTTCTTGATTATACTGATAAAATTCCTTGTGTGCGACATGAAGTGATGGAAATTGGTAAGGAAGCGGTTATGAGTGACTTCATGATTAACTGAGTTTACAATGAACTAGGTGTATCTCCAGGCATCCAAACAAGTTTCATGTACAGGTGTATCCATGTTTATTTCTGTAATTCTGCCATGTACACCATGAATACTATAAAAAATCAATCAGTTACTGTTTTCCTAAACATCATATAATATTTAATTTTATTTTAATATTTATGTTGTTGAGAAAAACTCAGGAATGGTTAATGAGATACAGAATTTAGCATATTTAAAAACTAGGAAAAATGGGTGGATTACTATAAAACAATTCCATTAGGAATCATTAAGCCATTGTTCTCATGATATAATAGAGACCTCGTTTATTTGCGCTATATAAATCCATCTATTATTATTATTATTATTATTATCTATATTATTATTATCTATATTATTATTATTATGATCCGGGTAATTGCAATTTTGGTGCGAAAATTTTGATTTGATTTAATTTGATTTAATTTATTTGTCTCATTGTCAAAAATCATAAATATTCAAATAAAAGCAAATTGAAATGAAACTGGCTTGGTGAAAAGAGATTCAAGACCCCTGTCAAGTGGGTCGTCGAAGTTACTTGCTACTATTAGCAATAGAATAAGTAAGACAACTGGGGATCCTCAAAATGACTCCTTTATACAAATGTGTCGTAACAAACTCTGAAAATCTCAAATTAGGAGATCTTAGCATATCAGAACAGGTCTGATAATGGCAAGTTGGTATATTGTAAAGAAGGCCAGAGCCATACCTGAATTGCTACCTCGTTCAAATTAATGATGCTATGACTAGTGATAATAATATCATAGTTGATGCACATAATATGATTTTGGCACTCATCCCATGTTGTTCCTGTAGTTCAGTGTATGTTTGTCTTGTGAAAAGAATTTTCATGTCTTATTAGCCCAACATGCCTAAGATGCATTTAAAAAAAAAAAAAAAAAAAAAAATTGAATGAGACAACACATTCCTTTTCATTTCATTATTTATTAGGCCCAACAAAAAAGTATAGATAACAGAGGCAGGCAACCATAATAGTTGAAAGAAAATTGCTAGACCTAAAGTATTTAAAATTATAATCTATTTTCCTTCAAAAATTGCCTTCAGCCCTGCAGCCTTCAGGCAGTTTTTCTGGGAAGTAATTGCTCCTTCGTCTTCTGTTCCCTACAGTGTAAAGAACTGTATATATATGTATTAACTAGGTTAATTTTTTATTAGGTTGTATTTACTATACTAAATGTACCATAGAGCATCATCATTTCTGCTTGCTGTTTTTCTTTTGTATCATAGTATATTTCATTGAATAAATACGATCTGGTTAGGTTGTATTTATTAGTAAATGCAATCTAATAATAACTGTTTTTATTTAAGTAAATTTATGATAACTTGAATAAATTCAACCCAATAAATTATTTTTTGGTTAAATTAATATTATATATCTGTACAACCTAATAAATCAGTTAATGATGCTGTATTAATTATATATAATTAATAAATAATACTTACATGAATACATCCTAATAAGAAATGTTAATTAGGTTGTTCTAGTATAACTTATTTTTGTTAGATAAATACCACCTGATAATAGACATAAATATAGCTCATAGGCCTCCCAGACTACAGCACTACACATCATTTTTTCTTTAAAATGTTACACTTTCAATAGCCTAGGCTAGGCTCAGGCCAGACAAGGAATCTATTTCAAAAACATAAACCAACATAAAATTATAGTTCTATTTTAATACATAAGTAACACTTTATAATAATAATAATAATAAATAATAATAATAACAATAATAATGGTTGACTTATAGCATGCATATTACAGACACCTCTATTATTATAATAATAATTTAACGATGAAACATACACAGTAAATATAATATAATATTAATAATAGCAGGTTTTTATATAGCGCTCTATACAACTAAGTCTCTTTCCACATTATTACCCCAGTATACATTATATTTATTTAGTAATTAGGTTGTATTTAATTGATTATATAGTTAATAAATTATATTAAATTAAATCAACCTAATTATTAAAACATTTTTTGCATTAATAATAACTAATAACAAATTGAACAATGTATTTGAAATATGTTTGCTCATGATTCTACCTAAAAAAAAAAGCATAAAAACTGCAATTATTAATAACAATACAATCTAATGAATCAATTAATTAGGCTATAGGTATTTAATTAATTATATATAATTAATAAATAATAATTAAGGGAGTACAACCTAATATGAATTGTTAATTAGGTTGTTCTAGTATCATGATGTTAAGTATCTAATATTATTTTTTATAAATACCACCTAATAAGATATGAAAATAGACATAAATACAGGGCTGGATTAAAGGGCTGTGTGGCTGGGGGCTGAAATTGCTAGAGTGCCTAAATACTCTGTGGCTAAATTCTTCCTGGGATTTGGGGCCTGTGGGCCTGGGGCTGGCACCCCCAAAAGCCCCTATGTTAATCTGGTCTTGCATAAATAAAGCTAATAGTCCTGTACTATAGCACTGCACAACATTTTTTTTAATGTTACATTTTAATATCTATTCCAACATAAACCAACATACAGTTATAGTTCTATATCAATAGCATAAGCAACATTTCTTAATAATATTTATTGTTATTGGACGTTAAGACATAGTAAATGTATGGTAGGTCTATTCTCTAGTACATAGTAATTAATTAATACTACTTAAATTAATACAACCAAAACATTATCAGATTTTTCAGGTCTACAGTATTTGAAAAATGTATCTCATGATACTATGAAAAAAAACATTATATACAAAATACAATTATTTTATGATTTTAAATTTGTAAATAGATTAAAGCACATTTTACATTTTATTTTATTCTATTTTACTTTGTCTTTGAAATGGACGCAGAAGAATATTTAAGTAGTAATATAGTAGTATCAGGTGTAGTTTATTTTATGTATGTTTCATCTGGTTCCGTTTCACCATACAATAATAATTATAAAGTGAGATTTAATTATTGATAAAGAACTATGATTGTATGCAGGTTTTAGTTAATGTAAAATTTCATTTCACCAAAGAAAATATTAAACATTAGCCTAACACATGCAATTCAATGTGTCAAAATAGCTACACTTGGTGTATACCAGTGGCCAAAAATGGCACTCTTAGACTCAAAATTTAAGTCAATTTTTGTCTTTTTCTCATTTTTTTTTTTTTTATGAAAATTTCAGAGTGGGGGGGGGGGGGGGGGGGGGGGGGGGGTGATAAGTGTAGCATTGAAATACACTACTGTTGTATTTTGATATTTATTGTGATTATACTATACTTCAAAATTAGATATGATTGAAAAATAAGGGCATAATGCAGTGGCATACATGCGGATAGAGGATGCTATAATATTTTCTTTTTTCTTTCAGAACTGTTTACTTTTAACTACCGTTATTTATGTTGAACAATACTTTTATGTTGAACAATACAAATTATTTACATTTAACTATATAATTAGGTATTTGAAACAATATAATTCATCAATTATTAACTCTATAATTATTTTGTTTTGTTTATTATTATTATATTTTTTTTAAATTTTATTTTATGTAAATAAAGTTAAATCACAATAAAAATACATCAATTATATAACAGCCTTAGCAGATACCTGTGCATTGCTCATAAATACAGAAAAATTACAAGAATTACTTACAATTTTTTCAGTATGTTTTTCAAAAACATGTTCCCACTTTAAAAAGTTTTTGTACACTAATATTCATAAATATATAAATATTGATTGTGTCATTTAGTGCTGTATTTATTATTTCACTAATGTGCACTTCAAAACTCATTAAATTTTTAGTGTTTTTTTTTTCAATCGTTAAATCCCTCATTTAAAACAAATATTTTTACATTCTTGGACTATTTTAGTATTTTATATATATTTCATTCATTGTACATTATTTTTTAAATTATACCTAGGCCAAATGAATTTCCTTCGTTATAATAAAAAGTATTATTGAATTTGAATGCTAGTCATGCTGAAAATTTTCATAGGTAAATATTTTTTAAGCAGAAGTTAACGTAATGTACAAATATCAACTTTCTCTTTTGGAACATTCTTTAAAAATAGATTAGAATCTTTTTCATATCATAAATCATCACCAAATCTTATACTTATGCAAACTTGCATGGCAAAGAGATAAAGTAAATGTAACATTATCAAATGAATTTTAGCAATTATATGATTTTTAGTGTTAGGACTTCCAATATTAAACAAAAAGTAGGGATACCCAGCCCTTAAATGCATTTAAACAGCTCGAAATTAGAACAAGATATTAATGATGATCATTAGCATCATTTACATGAGTTACATAACCTGGCAGCATTCTACTGTACTTTATTCAAACTCATTCAAATAATACCTTTCCTGTAGCCTAATCATTTGAATAACAGCATTTAATTGCCTGGTAATCAATATAAGGATTTCCATAGTAAAGTGATCATAAATCAGTGAACTTTTTTTCTGTTTCTGGTTAAAAGTTCATAGCCTAATAGTTCTTTTAAATTAACTAGTCAAATTATTTTTTTTAGGTTATTCCTTATATTAAGGCAGATATTAATAATGGATTATTTTTATAGACGAACCCATTTTTGTAATATTATATTGTAAGCCTACTGCTATTTTCCGTGGATGATATGAAATGATGCATAATGCTTTTGGAATAGCTGCAAAAAAGTAATTATCTTCAAAAGTAATTGTTTTAAGAAGATTTCCATTACTGCTGAATATTTTTAGACAGTTGGGATAACCTTGGAACCCTGCGACAACGATGTTGTCATCCTCATCCACGACTGCTAATGGGGACTGCATATACTCTGTTTCAAGTTTAATTTCTTTGATTAGCTTTCCTTCATTATTAAATAGTTTGATTTCAGTATGCCCAAATACAAAGAGATTTCCTTTATCCGTGAGGGCAATATCACAAACTCTACTATTTGGATTAATTTGATGGATTTTACCATTGCCAATGTCAAACATGTACACAAAGCTACCAGAATCTGCTACATACACAACATTTGATGTCTCATTCACTTGTATCCCCACTGGATCCTTCAATATTCCCTGACCAATTGGTTTAATTGCTTGTCCATTTGTATTGCACATACTAAACATGTACACACAGCCACTAGTACCATACCAATGATGAACAGAATCTGCTACATAAACAACATTTGATGTCTCATTCACATATATCCCCCTTGGATCCTTTAGTAGTCCCTGACCGATTGTTTCAATTTGACCATTTATTTTACATACTTTAATGCACTTATTACCCTTATCACTAAATGCTATGTTACCATTCTTCATTTTGTACATTCCGTTAACTTTAGCACCTTGTGGCAATGGAGCCATAGTAATAATATGATTAACTTCTCCTGATTGCTTGAATTTGAGAATTTTATTTCTCTCACATGAAACTAGCAAACAATCATCATGCACGACTATATCTGTAACACGAGTATCGATTACAGGAAAGGATTTTACTAATCCTTCCTTCACTATTTCAACATTCATTGGCGATTGTCTGAGTGTTTCACCATAAGCACTCACATCTAATCTGCAAAAACCTGGACGTGAGCACTTTTCCATTGTGAAATATTCTCCATTTTCATCTTCTTCAACATTGGTGATGCTGATTCTTCCTGAGGGCTGTGTCCATTTAACTTTCAGTTGATTTTCATTGATATCACACTCTTCTGTTTTGATTACTTTGACAACAATTAGCTGACCTGGGCTCACAGATTTCTCTACCTTTAATTTTAGACAGTCTGCTGCCCTCACTTTTGTTACCTTAGTAATAATAATAATAATAATATACTAATAATAATTTATTGACATTCATCATTTATATCGATGGTACTCAAACAAACAAGTTTGTTTTGTACAAAACAAGTTCAGCATTATAATCGCACCCTTTGTCTATAATAGAAGAGTCCGCTAAAGTATGAATATTTATTACCATAACTCAGTATACCTACATCACTACGTATACATACACAATGGTAGCAGTTTAAACTGACGTGGCATATTTATGAATAAACATTATTTCGCTGGCAGCATATTAGCTGACGTCAATTAATTTTAGTTCTTTTAGTTTACTTACTGAAGATGACTGTGACCCAGCAAAAAATTTGATTAAACCTATGTGTATTGCTTTTAAATTTGTGTTGTTTCTTATAGATCGTTTTGATCCATCATGATTTGAGTTACAAAAGTTATGTTAGTAAAGATGAATGTAGAAGACTGGAATTTCTTGAACAATTGTAAAACCTTCAGTGTTTTCCCAAGTATATTATTATTTGATATTATTACTTTTAATTTTTTTATAGTTAGACTGTTAATGTAAAATAGATGTTTATGATTTCTATTATATGTTACTGTTGAACAAAGGGCTGATGAGCTCCTTGGGTCCAATCGCCAAACCATTTTAAATTTACATAATTCAAAAAAAATATATGAATATCATCAACTACTGTGTATAAATATTATCAACTTTTAATTTATTTTTAGTTGTAAATAATTTGAAAAACATTTTTGTTTTCTTTGATCTATTTAATTAATTTTTGAATATTTTTTTCTTTCCTTATACCCAGATACTCACCTTTCTTTCCTTTTCTTTCAATTCTACCTTCTGTTCAATGGGGCTGTGAGGCCGGGGCAAGCGCCTCTTGGGAACTAGGTAAAAAAATAATAAGATAAAATAAATGAATAAAAGTTATTAAACATATACATACATCCAGTTCTTTCATGTGTTTTTTGGCATGAGAATTGTAAATAAAGCTGATCATTTATCGTAATTAATCTCTTCTAATTCTTTTTCATGAATGTTTTCATGACTTTACTACATTTATGTTTACAACATATCAAATAGTAAATTTGCATTACTGTTTAATAATTATCAAATTCTGCATCGTCAATATACATAAAATTTAGAAAATATGAATAGATCTGATTGAGATTTGATTGTCAAATACAGTAAATACTGAGTTAATATATTAAATCAGTGGTGGAGTTAATGGGAGGCCTGGCCCCCAACCACTAAACTTTTTTTCAAAATTTACAAAAATTGAGATAATAAGAAAGAAGTCTTAAAGTGCCATTTTCATCCATAGTGGGGCTGAGGTACACCCTCCATTTGGGAAGTCCTTCTCTGGTCCCCCTCTATTTCAAATTCCTGTATCCACTACTGTAAACTTTCATAAGTTGTGAATATTTTCAGCTCTATGAATGAAAAGGAAGGATAGCTTTTACTTTTAATGTTTCTATACTTTTTCTTTTATGACCTGGTAAAATATGCACTCTGTAATCGATTAAATTAGTCCTCTAATCCATTAAAAATTCTGTAGCTTCCGTGTACTTCATCCTCAGCTCCCACCGTGAATCTCCCCTCAGTCCTGCTGGGGCCCTAGGCCAATGGGCCTGGGCAGCAAATCTGTCACGGGGCCCACGGCAGCTCTCGGCAGCCCTGCTCCTGTCTATATTTACCTTTAGTTAGAGCTTTTACTGCACTTGGGAATTTATTTTTCTTCAAGATTTTAATGAATGCCATCATCTTTTCTTCACAAATTATCATTTTCTGCTCTAGATCCATTATCAAAGTCCAGCTGTCAGCTGCATGTTTCTCAGCAACACTATACAGTCCACGAATTTGTTTTATTTCATCTAGATCAAGTGCCATTCCCAGATTTAAAAGTCTTTGTCGATGCGGTTTGAATTTTTGGATTTTAATATTTCTGATGTCTTCTGGTATTGGGAATGATGGATGTCGATCCTTAATTAACTGCGCCAGATGAAATTGTCCTGTTAACTTAATAGTTTCATAGAGTAGAGTGAGATTGGTTGGAGTCAGATCTCCAGCTCCAACCAGTAACTCAATGATTTCCATTGTTTTAGAACACTCATGCAATGCCAAAGTGTCTTTTACATGGTCCCTGTACAAAACCTTCAACATGCTTAAACCATTCTTCTGTTTGTCAAACCATTTTGAGACTTCCAACTTAAGACCTCCAAAATTTGCATCAGCAACTTCTACAATGTAAATATAAAAATGTATAATATCATCATTCATTTATTGTCATAATAATATTCTGTTTTTATAAATGCATAATCAAATTCCAGCTGTGCGCTGCATGTTCTATTCCCAGATTTACAAGTCTTTGCCAATGCATATGAATTTTATGATTATATTATTCTTGATGCCTTGGTATTAGGAATGATAAAAGTCACTTTTAAACTTTAATTATCTGTTCCACACCAAATTGTTGCATTTGATTTTATTTTATTTGGCATCTAAATAAATGTCATAAAATCATTGAATTATGAAATATTTTATTCCAAAGAGAATTGTGTCCAGAAAAAAAAATGCCATACCCTAAATGACCAAATATATTAACTAGACTTGAATATTAAATTAAATTAATTACACTTTACAAACTGGAACACAAAACAAAAATACAGTAGCTTATGTTAGAAATTACCACAATTGTGTTAAACATTCTATTAAGTGTACAGTGTTTGCAATATATATGATTTTCTGGTTACATAAATTGTTGTATACACAGCCTTGCAGAATAACAACTGTTTTGGTTGAGCCAAGTTTTCATGTTTTAAAGTTATTATTATTAACTTTTATAATTTAAAATTGTTAATAAACTTAACTTTCCTGAGTAAAAGCTTTCCTTTTGAAGTGGTTCAAAGGCGGTCATTGAGTTGTCTCATAATTTACAGTAGTTGCCCTTGCCCTTAGCCCTTTTCCTTGTTTACTTTCTTTGAATTGTTTTTTTTTTTTTTTTCAGTTTTTCCTTTTGGTTGTAGCGAACCATTGATTAGCCCATCGGTTGCATTTTTCGCAACCGATGCAGTGAATACATGAAGCATGAGTTATGATTTTTTGCAAGAAGTCAGGTGGCATGGACTGAAACTGGAATGCAGCATTTAAAATAATCAATTATACATGCCCAGGTCAGTATGCCTAGTTGTGAAAATTGTCACTCAAATGTCGATAACATTGTGATACAACCTTGATATATTTTGGGATATGTTTACTTCAAGTTTAGCAAATTTTAGACACCATCTTTATTTGATGACATGTCTATCCATAATGAATTTCCCCTTAAATACAATTTAGTTGATTCTGATTACAATGATGCAAGTTTTGTCTTTGACAAATATTGTAAAAAATACCATTTGCTTGGATAAAGCCCAATGAGCTGTACAAGAACCTGTAATATTATACTGAATTTGACTTTGATTCTGCCCTGGTTCGTAGAAAAAGGAAATGAATAAATAAATAAATAAATCAACGTTCTGGTAATTTCACACGACTACTAAGTACAGGTTTTTGTGCAGCTCAGTGTGTTTCATTCAGTTTACTTATTTAATTATAATAACAATTTGTTAGATATACAAATACGGGTTTTACTATAAATTGCTAATAGTTCTGCTTTTGCTATGCTATTTATCCGTTTGTTGTTTTTGAACTGTCTTTTGCATTCCTTTGTTTATATTTTATATTGTTAGTGGGTGCACCATCAAAGTGATGGATGCCACTGATCTGAAAGTGAACCCAATTATTAAGTATTGTATTGTGATAGATGGAATCTGCAATGAAACAGATCAACAAATTTAAGTTTTGTTTACCTTTACTTAATGCCATGTTCTCAGTATTACTGCTACTTTACATTGTTGATTATTTTATACTCCTTCATTCCTGAAACAAAATTATAACAATTTTATTTAATTATTCTGTCTTTCTACTGCATGCACTTTCAGTACTTGTGTACTGTTTTTCAAAGTGGTACAGTTACATAAAATACAAAAGTTAAAAGAAAAGTAAAAAACATACATATATATATATATAATATAAATAGATATCATATATACAATAAAAGTGATTAATAATTAAAAGAGTTTTTAAAAAGTGTAATAGACATGTCCATGAAATTTGTTGTTGTTTCGTGTGGAAGTTCATTCCACAACTTTGTTGAGCGATACAAAAAAGTTCTCTTGCCTCCATTGTGGTACAATAATTTTATTATGAGATTGACTACGTGAACATTTTGAATGGGATTCGATATTAAATTTAAATTTAGATGATAAATAAGATGGCGCATACCCTTTTAGACATTTAAAAGTCATTAAGGCTAACTGTTCATTCCACCTTACATGTAGTCGTTTCCATGCTAGTGAACCTAACATAACATCAAATTCCAAAGTGTAACTAAAATTTACAGTAAACGCTTTTATAAAAATATTGTAACAATTACAGCATTTATTTTGAAAAGAAGCCCCTCTGTAGTTTGCAAAAATAATCCCGAAAAGAAGTGCTCCTATGCTTCTATTAAGATTTTACAGTAATGTCATTATCGCTGCTGAAATTAGTTGTCAATGGAGACTTGCTTATAAATGCAAAATCTCCCTCACCCCAATCCCTCCATTTCACTGCTCCTACTGTAGTTGAGCCATGCTTAGACATATTTATCTATACACAGTACCATATATGGTACTGTGTATAGATAAATATGTCTAAGCATGGCGTAGTGCATGTTTGAAGACGAATAGTCAATCTGTGAATCTCAATTCAAGTCAAAATACTCCAGTTTGCTCTTGTAACTAAACAATACTTACACACAGATACAGTCATTAATATGGTGATCTTCAAATATTTCCAAATACTCTATGTATCTACAATATCTATAGCATTTACAAATACTTCAGATTTCATCAGTAGTTCGCGCTGTGACGTTTAGTTTATTCTTTGGTTTTTCCCAGGTGTATTTTTACTGATCATGTGAACTGGCATAGGGCTATTCATAGTTACAATTTAGGCAATGATATTTATTATTAATCAATAAATTGATTTGATTTGTATTGCACCACCTAGTGTTTGGTTTTTCCTGGGTTTATTTTGACTGATGTTACCAGGTATAGGGCCAGTTCATGAGGCGATAATATTTAAATCTGTCGCTAAACAAATTGTTTTATGGTAGTGTAGAAAGCACCGGGATCCCTGCAGGTGATTGTCATTGGTTAATATGTGTACAGTAGGCTTCATCAGCCTGAAATAAAGTAGTAGAATAGGATTAAATTAGCATCTTGCAATCTCTTCATTTTAAGACTTTTCGGTGGTAAAATGTACCCCTAAAAACAGAAGATGCATATGAACCAGCTTGGTCTACCTTGTCATTAAATGACAAATAAATTCTTTTGGTTTATCTTATTAATCATGAGTCAATTTTATTCTTATTGGTTCCTGGTTAGCACATCCAGTCACTCTCTATTCCTTATCTTGGGTCAGTGGTGGTGCCCGTAGGGGGACAGAGGAGCTTAAGTCCCCCACTGGACAGGTCAAGGCCCCCTCCCCATCCCGTCGGACAGAGCTTTTCGGGCAGTCAGACCAAAACAAACATACAAAATAGGCCCAAACCAAGTCTGAGAGTGCCATTTCAAGCCATCCACAGGTTGCTGTTCTTTAAAAAATCTCATTTGGGAATGGCAACGCCTTTCAACCCCTTTCCTCAGCATGGGCCTACGGTTCAAGACTCCCTGTCGGACAGCTTAGCCCCCAGAAAATATATCCTAGAGCTGCCACTGATCTTGCTTTTGGTTATCTATCACGTTTAGGTAAAAAGGATACTTCCCTTAGAGGATTACGAAAATGTA